TGTCCTTTGAAAGTTTAATTCCGACTGGTTGACTTACTTGACCATTTATTGTGCTGATATTTTAACTGATACGTCTTCCTTTGTAAGTGGTTTTATACTTACTTGGCTCACTAACACATCGCTTCATGGAAGAAGGTTTAATAAAACCGAGTCCACAAGATTATCTTCAAACGGTGGGGGTGGACTTCAGGGTATTTGTTTCATTTAAATTAAGTCTCTGGGGCACCTGGGTGGCTCAGTTTGTTGAGCCTCCGTCTTCAGCTCAGGTCATGATCTCACAGTTCATGTGTTTGAGCCCCACATCTGGCTCTGCAACGACAGTTCAGAGCCTGGAACCTGCTTAAGACTGTGTATCTCCCTCTCTCTCTCTGCTCCTCCCCTGCTCTCACTCTCACAGTAAATAAACTTAAAAAAAAGAGCCTCCAGAGTAAGATTCTGTTAGGAATTGAAGCACCTCAATCTTGATGAGTCACCTGATGGAGGGGGCTCCTGAGCGAGCGCCTGGGAGGTACTTTGCTGCTTTTTTAAGTGTATTTATTTATTTTGAAAGCACAGGTTTGAGTGGGAGAGGGGCAGAGAATGAGTCAGAGAGAATCCCAAGCAGGCTCAGCACTGTCATCAGGTAGCCAGGCTCAGTCTCAGAAACCTCAAAATCATGACCTGAGCCGAAATCAAGAGCCTGATGCTTAACTGACTGAGCCACCCAAGCACCCATTTACTGCTTTCTTCTGCCCAAGCAAGCGTCACTTTGACTAGTTTCAGCTTTTACCCAATTAGTTTCAGCTTTTACCCAATTTGTGCCCTTTTGTGCCCCTCCAGGAACTGTCCTTCTCTGAGAAGATGCTGGGCACGCACTGTGCCAGGTTGTTGGATGCTCTGGGGACAGCAGCTTCGGCTCCTGACGCACCTGAGAGCCTGGAGGGAGGCCCAGGGCAGGGGGCTTCTGGAAGCAGCTGCCGCTGGGGGCCCCTACCCAGCCTAGAGTCTGACAGGAAAGAAGTAAAAAGAAGACATTCTAAAGGAGGAGGGTAGAGGAAGTCCCCAGAAATCTTCATGGTGCGTCCTGGGCCAGAGAGACACAGCATCTGTAAGTCCGGACCAGTGTACTTGCATGTTAGAATCAGTATTCTTTATTTATTTATTGCAGCCCCCAACCCCTTCCAGGATGTGCACTGCTGTCATATTCCAAAAGCTTCTCAGGAACCCCCCCAAACACACTTGCACCCACACGGTTGAGGAGTCAGTTACAGAAATCCAAGTAACTTAAACCACCCTGGAACCCGACTTTCTTCCCAGGCATAAAGTCCTGAGTTAGATAGCCCCCCCCCACACACACACACATCAGTCCTTACTGGGTCACCCTGGGTCACTTGGTACCATTTCTTCTACTTTGCTGTCACTTCCTTTATCCTCATTGCCCCCCTCCCCCCAGGCACCTACTCAGACAGGTATCACTCACTAGTTTGTAGAGTGTCCTGCAACCTTGACCTGATCTGCATTCATGCATTTTAAGTTTCAGTAATAGTGCTGTCCTCTGTTTGTTTTAATTTTTTAATATCTTATTTTCTATTTGAGAGAGACAGAACATGAACAGGGGAAGGGCAGAGAGACAGAGGCAGAATCCGAAGCAGACTCCAGGCTCCAAGCTGTCAACACAGAGCCCGACATGGGGCTCTAACTCATGAGACCAGTGAGTCCATGATCTGAGCCAATGTCAGAACCAACTGAGCCACCCAGCCACCCCAAATAGTACCATCTTATACTTCATTTTCTTCATGGTTACTCACCATGGTGCCCCAAGCCAGTCCAAGTTCCCCTGTGTGTAGCTCCTGTGTCTCCAGAATTGCTGCCTAGTCTGTGGCCTCTATCACCATTGGACTTCCCACCTCCCTCTTGCTGGCACTAGTGTCTGCCCTGCCTGCCCCCTCCGCCATGACAACAGAGCATCGAATGCTGGTGTGTGCATCCCCCTGTGGGCCTGGGGAGGACATCTTCACAACAGGACACCTGCAAGTGGGGTTGCTGGCTCCATGGTCACTAGGCCTTAACTCTCAGGCCCTAACTCTCTGGGAGCTGGAACCACAAAATGAGGCAGCAGAGCAGGGACTTGGGGGGAGGTGTGCAGAGAGGAAGCAGGGAGGGGTGCTCAGCTGCTGCGTCTCCAACCAGTGTGACTTCCAGGCACTACTGAGTGTGAGCATTTCTCACTGGGCTTCGTAGCCTTCTGGTTCCTCTTCTGCACCTGTCCCTGCCTCTCCACCCCACCCCGCCCCCTTGCCTGCAGGCCTTCAACCCCATTACTCTCAGCTTCCTGATCAGCAGGAGCTTCCTGCGTCTTCTCAGTAGGACCCACGTCAGTTGTGACTGCAAGCCTGCAGGAACTCTGGCCGTGGGACGCCTGGCTGAGCAGAAGAGGCATTTTGTATAAGCTTCAGTCTGTCACTTGGGGGACTGTTCCAAGCACGGGGTGCCCCCCCTTGCCTGCCAGTGGTAGGAAAGCGTTGACAATATTTTCATGCTGTGACCTCACCCTACCGCGAGACCCCCACCACCCATGGGGAGAGGGTGGGGGTCAGTGCCCAAGTCTACACAGCCCCGCCCCTTGCGAGGAGCCGCGCCTGCATCCAGGACACCATTGGCAGACCAGTCTCTCCCTGGACATCTCTGCTCCCCTTAGGCAAGCACATCAGGTCGGGGCACCGTGTGCACATCTCTGCAGGACTAGCTCCACTGCACAGCCCCCAAACTGGCACCCAGCCCCTCAGTAACTGGGACCCAGGTCACGCCCAGCCTTCTCAACATTACAAACAAGGTTCCATGACTGTCCGAGGTGCACCGCCCCCCAGAACATGCTGGCATCCGAGGCACGCTGGAGTGCAGTGACACAGGGTAGTGTAGTTGGGGCTGGGGGGGCGCTCTGAACGGAACCCCTGGGGCACCCTGCCTGCTAGGAATGTCTGCCCTGGGGCCCTGAGCCGGTCCAGGTGGCCTGACCACGTGATGTGGGGCAGGAGCTCTGGTCCCCATTTGGACTCCACGGCATCTCTGTGTGGGGCACTTTTACTGGACTCTGCTTCCCACCTCTGGCTTTGGCTGACCTTAACCGGTCTCCTCTCCGTGATAAACAGTCACTGTGAGTGCCATAGCCTTCTGTGAGCTCTGGCAGCTTTTCTGGCTAATCAAGCCTGAGGTGGACGAGTCCCAGGCACGGGGCCCTTCTGATCTCCCGGCTGGCCTGCCTCTCCTGTTTATGGATCTCTCAGCCGGTGTCTCAAGTAGCGGTTCCGGCCCACATCCCCTCAGGGCATCCTGACCCACATGACCCAGGCTTCTCATTTCCTCCCTAAATGAATTGGAGCACCACCTACCTGGCCCTTCCCAGAGCCTGCCCACCACTGGTGTGGACATCTCCTGCTACGCTCCTGTCCTGCACCTGGTGACTTAGCACCCCACACGGAGTGCAAAGGGTCCCCCATAGCGGGTTGCTCTGCTCCATAGACTCAGCACCCCGGAAACTGGAAAACAAACAGGTCCCCCCGCGACGGACAATGGGGATTGGAGGAAAAGGCATCTGGGCACTACCCTGAAAGGAACCAGTTTCCTCAAAGTGCCCCCAGTCTTCCAGCAGACAAACCGCTTCTGGGCCTCTACGCAGAGCCCTGCATGCTTTCCCCTCGCTCGTGCTCCCGCGCAGACCTGGATCACTCGGAAGGATGCACATGCGAACTCACTGAGAACCGGGGACTGTGGCATAGCTGAGCTCCCACAAGACCCCTGCCCCTCACAAAGAGGCTTCTGAAGCCCCTGCAGTTTCTGTAAGATGTTTGAGCACAGACTCAAAGGTGAGGTGACTACTCGACCTTGCAGACATCTGGAGAAGCAACACTATTCCAGAGGGAATAGAGGCACACCCCAGAGGGGCGCCAGACAGTCAGCAGGGAGCAGCCAGTGGGGGCGGGGCCGTTAGGCCCTGGAGGCGGGTGGGGCGCTTCGAGGAGCTGCCGAGTGGGTAGTGGGCCTGGCTGGAGCCGCAGGGCATCTGCACTGAAATGTTCTTGGCCTGCTGGACACAAGCCAGGGGGCTCCCTCTGGTGCCCTCCCCATGCCCATGCTCACGCCTATGCTCACATCTAGAGCCCAGAGGCCTCTAGCGCCCCCCTGGGTCTGAAGAGGCAGGATCATTTATCAGGGTTACTTGGCCTCCTCCAAGGAGGAGGCAGGAAGGCAGCTGGCTGGGTCACGCAGCCGAGGTGGGGAACCCATCAGAGAGAAGTCTCATCTGCCTCCCTGTCCTACAGCAGTGTGGACACAGCACGTCCCTGGAGACCCTCTGGGCAGGGAAGGAGGCAGACAGGAGGAGGGACCCCAAGCAACCGAGTGGAGCAAGCCCTCTTTCCTGGGCTTTGTGAGCGCCCACCACAGCCAAACTCTCAGAAACTAGGGTGCCAGTGGTGTTGAGGGCTCGGCTGGCAACGTAGGAATGCACCTGTAGACCTTAAATCCATATGATCTGGGAAGACTCCCAGCCTAGCCATCCTTAATGGCCCTGTGTCAACATTCTGGGACCCCACATCTCCACTCTTGTGTGCTGCGTGACTGTCACCTGAACTAATGTACACGATGATGCTACCACTAAGTCAGAACTTTGCCACTTTTGTCTGTCAGAGAAAACGTGAAGCAAAGGGAGCCAGAGGCAGAGTGAGAGGAAACATGGTGTCAGCGTGCAGGCTTGGGGGTGACCCACACCCTCCCTGGTCCTCTGCCCCAGGATGGATGCTATGGGGAGCTCCAGCCTGCCCTCCCCACCTTTTCCCTGCACGTACACCCCAAATTTAACCCTCACTGGATGCCCCACGCACGTGCAGGGGATCTGGTCTGTATGTCCAATGCAATGGCCCCACTGTGGGTGGCATTTAATTGGGGTAGGTGCTAGGCCTGCACAATCTGAGCTGCCCAGTGACAGCCGTGGGCCACGGAGACCCCAGGCCAATGAGACTCAGTGGCAGCGACAAGAGCTTTATGAAGAGTCGTGATACACTGGGATCAATGGTACCCCCGCTACAGGTCTCTACAGTGAAATGGTTACAGCCTGGGGAACACGAACACCCACAGGGCAAGGGAACAGTGGTTCCTTGGCCCACCCAAGGCAGCCACCTGTGGTATGCATCTTGTGTGTGCACCTCGGTGCAGGCCCTCAGGGGTGAAGGTTGCTGCGGGTCCAGGAAGAGGTGATGGAGGAGCTACTGGGGGCCAGGCCGACCGTGGATGGAGCTGTTACCGCCTGGAGCCAGCAGAGGCAGGACATCACTGCAGGGGGAGGGGCAGGGGTGGGAGAAGAGAGGCAGCTGCTGTGAGAACACCCAGGCCACAGGGCCACAGCCTCCCGCTGATACCTGTCCCCAACCCCACCCCGCAGCACCCCGGCACCCTCCCCTGGGGTCCAGGCACACAGGGGCCCACCTGCAGCAGCATGCTGAGCCCCAGATTGCGGTGCCTCCTCTCCAGCTCCGAGACAGCCTGCAGCAGGGATCCAAAGCGCTCGGCGGGGTCCACGTCCTCGTCCTCATCCTCTGGGGACCCCTCCTCTTTATCTGCCTCCTGCAGGAAACGCTCCTCCTCCTCGGCAAAAAAGGCCCGAAGCTTCTTGTAGTCGGTCAGGGCCTTCTTCCTGCGGTCCATCACGTGTCCCTGCAGGGCAGGCAGGCGGGCGGCAGGGAGGGACACCTGTGTCCCAGGGCTACCCCTGGGGCTTCCCGCCCCACCTCTGCCCACCTGGGGAGAAGGTTTGCTGCACAGCCCGTATCACTCAGCTGCATCCCTGCCAAATGAGGTCAGGGTTCACACCCACACCCTCTCCCTGGGCAGACCCCGGGCCGGAGGACACTTGCCTTCCACACGGCCGCAGCAGACTCAGCCTGGCCATGCAGGTCCCGCGCATCATTCAGGTCTTTCCGCATGATCTCCACAGACCCCTTGTTCTCCTGGAAAGACACACTGGTTACCGGTGGGCTCAGAGGTCCAGGGTCCCATTCACCCAGTCCCAGGGCAGACTCAGGAAGCGTGTGGTTGTGGCCTATCAGGCTCTGAGAAAACTGACTGCAGGGACCAGAGGGGGTCTCAGCAACCCCGCTAAGCTCTCCTGAGAAGGAACTCTGATAGGAAAGGGTCTGCCATGAATATACCCAGGTAACCAGACACAAGGCCGTCCCCTGGGGTCTCCAGTGTTACCGTCACCAACGAGGAATGGAGCATGGCCTTTCAAGGGTGCACTGACCTACACCTAGGGTCCTCCAGCAGGAGCAGAGCCCAGCTCCTGTCCACCTGCTGCAGCCACAGTGCAGCCCCTGGCCACTACCCACTGCTCACAGGGACCCAAGGACCCACCCCCTGATAGTTTGCTGCCATGCTCTCTCCTCCCTCCCCACTGGTGGGCAGGAACCACACTGTCTCAGCACCAAGAACGAACCTGTCTTTACTCTCTGAAATAACACTGTGCCCCCAGCTCTACAGGGGCCCCCAGCCTCTCTCCAATGGCAGGTTTCTCCCCAGGATTAGGTAACCGCATGCAATGGTCCACAGCACAGCGAAGGTTTCAGAACCAAGTGGGTGGGGGTCAAGGAGATCCAGTGGGAAAACGGTCCTGGTAAAGGGGAAGGGAGGTGCACTGGACCACAGCAGGGGACAGCCAGGCTGACTACCTTGTCCACCAGAGTGAACCTCAGGGAGGGGAAAGACAGTGGCGGTGACGTCACCCCTAGAGGTGGGGCAATGAGGTGCAGGAGGTGAGATACGAGGGTGGGGCCGCCAGATGGACCCCATCTTCGGTTGCAGTACAGGGAGGGGAGGGGTGGAACTGTTTGAATCCGGGCTCAGCCGGAGGAGTGTCGGAGGTGGAGAAAGAACACGGTTCAGGGATGGGGGCGGGCACAGACGCCTTACCGAGCTGGGGGATAAGGGGAGAGGGCACCGTCCCGGGGAGAAGGAATGGGGGTACACGGCAACGTCTGGCAAATGGGTAACCAAGCACAATCCAGGATAGAAGACCTGGGTTGGAGACAGGGTACCATCATAGGGTTGGGGACCCGAAAGGGATGGACGACTGGGCACAGTTCGGAGAATGGAGACTGCACCGTCTAAGGCCAGAAATCCGAGTTGGGAATGGGGGAGAGGACACCAACCAACGGCGGGTGAGGGGAAGCCTAGACACCACCCGGGGACGGGGACCCAGGTTGGAGGGCAAGGGGGGAACCCGACACGGGCAGAGGTTGGGGGCGGGGAACCGGGGTTAGGGCTGGGAAACAAGACACCGGCTGAGGGTGTAGGACGGACGGCTGGGCACCGTCCCGGGTCTGGGGAAGGGAAGACGGAGCAGTCGGGAAGGTCGGGGGGGACCCGGGCTGGGGCCGGGGATGGACCGCGCACAGGTCGCCGCCCGGGTGCACCTTGCCGCGCAGCGCCTTCCTCCAGCGCGGCTCCCACTCGGGGGGCTCGGGCCCTGCGGCCATGCGGCAGGCGGCGCACAGCGGGCCCCCGTCGGCGCGGCACAGCAGCTGCAGCGCCGCCTCGGAGGCCGGGCCGTCGCGCGCGGGCGCAGCGGCAGCCTCCTCGAGCGCTAGCAGCCGGCGGCTGAGCGGCGGGCGGCCGGGCTCCACCGCGCGCTGCCAGCAGTCGTCGGCGCACTCGGGACACGGGAAGGGCCCGTCCTCCTCGGCCCAGAAGCGCACCACGCACGCCCGGCAGAAGCGGTGGCCGCAGTCGGCGCGCACCGGCTCTCGCGGCGCACGCTGGCACAGGGCGCAGGAGGCCTCGGCGGGGAGCGCCAGGGCGGCGGCGGCGGAGGCCCTCGGGGAGGGCGCGGGTGGAGGGACGGTGACCAGGGCGTGCGGGCGAGGCCGGCCGGAGACGCGGCGGAGAGCAGGAACTGGGATGGAGAGCGCGGCCGGAGAGTGAAGGACGGGGACCAGGATGGCGACGGGGACGCGCGGGGCGGGGACGGCGGGGCGCCCCACGCAGGGTCCTGGCAGCGGTGCGCTCCACGCAAGGTCCTGGCAGAGGTGTGCTTCACTCCTTGGGATCCTGGCAGCCGTGCTCCCCCTACAAGGTTCTGGCAGGGATGCCCGCCCCTCCCCCTTCGGAGTTCTGGCAGCGATCCTCATCCGGGAAAGGTCCAGAGAGCTGTGTGCGCCTCTCCTCCGGGGTCCTGGCAGCGATGTACTCCACCCCTCCCAGGTCCTGGCAGCGGTGCGCTTTACTCTTCCGTCTCCGCGAGCCGACCCACGTCCTCGCACCCTGAAGTCTTACCAGGATGGTCACTTTCCCCCTAAATGGCTCGTGAACGAAAGTGAGAGAGTGTCATATTAGTATATGAAGACGACATTCTAAAAGTCTTTTGTAAGCTGCTAGGACCTGGGCGGCTAGCTCTCCGCTCCTGCGCTGTTGGGGCGGGGCTGGAAAACCGCCTCTGTGGGCCCTCCTCTCCTGCAATCGCTGGGCGAGCGCGACCCCGCGTGGGCCCTTTCCTCGTGCAACTGCCACGCGCGGACCTCGTCGTATGCAACCATCCTGCACGCAACGCACCTTCCTGCGTGGGCCCTGTCCCCGTGCAGCCGCTGGGCACGCACCTCTCCCCGTGAACCCAGCCGCAGAGCGTGCGGTCCACTGTCCCGGGCATCCCTTGGCGTAGAGGAATCCGGAGCGAGGGAGTTCTCACTGATTCAGACGGAGACCCGAGATGACACAGAGCTACAAGCCCCAGGACATTTGTTAGCACGTCTCTGTGGAGGGGTAGGGGTGGTGGGCCGGAAATTGAGAGGGGGAGCAATCTGTTTTGTTGTTATGTTAAAAGCAACCAATAGGCAGTTAAAAAAAAAATCAGTAATTTAGTACTACATAATTTTTATTTTTTAAATTTATCTAAATTTGGGGTGCCTGGGTGGCTTAGTCGGTTAAGCGTCCGACTTTCGCTTAGGTCATGATCTCGTGGTTCGTGGGTACGAGCCCCGCGTCGGGCTCTGTGCTGACTGCCAGCTCAGAGTCTGGAGCCTGTTTCACTCTGTGACTCCCTCTCTCTCTGACCCTCCCCTGCTCACGCTGTCTCTCTCTCTGTCTCCTAGAAATAAATAAACATTTAAAAAAATTATCTAAATTTTAGTTAATGTACAGTGCAGTTTGGTTTCAAGAGTAGAATTTAGTGAGTCACCACTCACTGCTTATCCCAAGTGCCCTCCTTAATACACATCATCCATTGAGCCCATCTCCCACCCACCTCCCTCCATCAACCCTCAGTTTGTTTTCTATATTTAAGTCTCTTGTGGTTTGTTTCTCCCAAACAAACCCCTTTCCCGTATGTTCATTTGTTTTGTTTCTTAAATTCCACATATGAGTGAAATCGTATATTTGTCTTTCTCTGACTGACTTGTTTCACTCAGCATAATACGTTTCTACCTCCATTCATGTTGTTTCAAATGGCAAGATTTAATTTTTTTAAGGCTGAGTAATATCTCATTGTATGCATATGTATGTGTGTGTTTATGAATATAACATCCCACATCTTCATCCATTCATTCCTGATTGGACACTTGAGCTGTTTTCATAATTTGACTATTGCTGATAATGTTGCTTTAAACATTGGGGTGCATGTACCTTTGAATCTGTATTTTTGTATCCTTTAGGTAAATACCTAGCAGTGTAATTGCTGGGTAGTAGGATAATTCTATTTTTTTTAATTTTTTTTTAAAATGTTTTATTTATTTCTAGGAGAGAGAGAGAGAGACAGCGTGAGCAGGGGAGGGTCAGAGAGAGAGGGAGTCACAGACTGAAACAGGCTCCAGGCTCTGAGCTGGCAGTCAGCACAGAGCCCGACGCGGGGCTTGAACCCACGAACCGTGAGATCATGACCCAAGCGAAAGTCGGACGCTTAACCGACTAAGCCACCCAGGCGCCCCGGATAATTCTATTTTTAACTTGAGGAAGCTCCATACTGTTCTCTAGAGTGGCTGCATCAGTTTGCATTCCCAGGAACAGTGCAAGAGTTCCCCTTTCTCCGCATCCTCACCAATACCTGTTATTTTCTTGTGTTAATTTTAGCATAACTTTTAAATTAAAAAAATTAGTCTGTTCTTCCATGTAAGTGCAAAATCTTCTGAGTTACATTGGTTTCCATTTTTGTATGTTTGTAAAAACGTGGCATGGACTTGAGAATGCAGTAAATAGGCAGTGGGAAGTGTAACTAGTGAATGAGGGTTTGTTCTGTGGAATAATGTGTAGAAGAGGGCTTCGAGCCCAGCATACCTAATTCATTAGGTACATTAAAAACTTAGTGGAGAGAAAAGTTAAGAAAGAGAGAGAAAAAGAAAAAAAAAAAAGAAAGGAAAGAGGGAGGAAGGGAGAGAGAGAAAGAAATTGAGCAAACTTTGCGATAAAGTGTAACAATAATCAGGAACAATAAAGGTAAATAGCCAAGCACGAACTTTTCAGCCACAAATAATACAGAGTTCATAAAATTTAGTACAGAAAAGTACAACAGAGAAATACTACCCCATCCCCATGGGATTTGTCAGTTCTCTCACACACACACCATTGCTGAATACACCACTCTGATCAGTTACTAAGAAATAGGAACAGGTGGGGGCACTGGGTGGCTCAGTCAGTTAAGTGTCCAACTTTGTCTCAGGTCATGATCTCAAGGTTTGTGGGTTCCAGCCCTCGTCAGGCTCTCTGCTGACAGCTCAGAGCCTGGAGCCTGCTTCAGATTCTGTGTCTTCCTCTCTCTCTGCCCCTCCCTTGTTCATGCTGTGTTTCTCTCTGTCTCAAAAATAAATAAACTATTAAAAAGCTTTAAAAAAAAAAGAAATAGGAACAGGTGCACCTGGGTGGCTCAGTCCGTTAAATGTCTGACTCTTGATTTCACCTTAGGTCATAATCTCACGGGTCATGAGTTTGAGCTCCTGCATCAGGCTCTGCACTGACAGTGCTGACCTACTTGGGATTCTCTCTCTCCGTCTCTCTCTGCCCTTGACCTGCTCAGGCTCACTCTCTCTCAGAAACAAACTTTTTAAAAAAGGAAATAGGAACATAAAGACTGTTTTCACTCTTACGCTAGCATACCTCTCAAAACCCTGATTTTGCAAATACTGCTTCTGGGAGACAATGTAGTAATACGTAGTAAGGACCTTCAGATTTGTTAACATTGGAATTCCTTTTTAAAAAAATATATTCTATTAAAACAGCCCAAAATAGAAATAAAGCCTTTCCTGATTTGGTTTTTTTGTTTTGAAGAAACGTTTGTCCCATCCTTACTTGGGGCAAAAAGTAAAAAGCCTCCAAGTTTGAATAATAGAGAATGAGCAAAATGTAGTAGCCCTCCATTTGAATGTGTGCATGAGAGACTTGGGGAAATGAGAAATCACAAACATTGTTTCATAACCCCTTAGATCTGCTCCAAATTCCTATGCGGGCTTTTCCCCAACATCAAGAAATTCTCTGTGACACCAGCTGGGTGTTGTACAATTTTAACTCAAGTCTACCCAGGGACAGTCTCAGACCCCACAGGTGAAGGGCTCAGTCCTACAAGACTTCCCCAAAATCAGATTCCAAGTCCAGGTTTCACCTGTGCTTCTGAAAGAATAGCTATAGATCACACTATCCCATCATCTTCTCCTTTAAGTGCTATGCCCCATAGACATTAATAAACGTTTCCTCTATTATTTTTAGTCAGTCTAATTCTGGGGTCCCAGCCAATGAACCCAAGAAGGGTAGAAGAAAATGGTTTTTCCTTCCCTATACTTTTCATTACAGGAAATAGTTACCCCATGTCTAACTTGTGTTTGATACATGTTTTATGGTATTTGGGGTCACGGTACGTTAAGTTCTATTCTCATAAATCAGGCTGTCCAGAGAGATGGTAAAGTTGCGGTTGTGGTCAGCTCTGCACCTAGGGAAATGATTGAAGCCACCAGGCCAGGGGGCGGGGGGGGGGGGCTCAACCCCCTCGCTTGATTTCTGCTCAGGTTATGATCCCAGAGTGAAATTGAGCCCTGCATCAGGCATGGGGCCTGCTTGAGATTCTCTCTCTCTCTCTCTCTCTCTCTCTCTCTCTCTCTCCCCCTCTGCCCCTCTCACACCCTCTTTATCTTAAAGAATTTTCTTAAATGTTTAAAAAAATAAAGAGAGAGAGGGAAAAAAAAAAGAGAGGACTCAAAGCGTGCCTGAGTGGCTCAGTCGGTAGAGTGTGCAACTCTTGATCTCATGACCCTAAGTTCAAGCCCCACATTCACTATAGAGTTTGCTTATAAAGAAAAAGTCTGGAGCACCTTGGGCGACTCAGTCAGTTGAGCATCAGACTTCCACTCAGGTCATGATCTCCCGGTCTGTGGGTTTGAGACCTGTGCTGGGCTCTGTGCTGACAACTCAGGGCCTGGAGCCTGCTTTGGATTCTGTGTCTCCCTCTCTCTCTCTGCCCCTCCCCTGCTCACGGTCTGTCTCTCTCTAAAAAAAAAAAAAAAAAAAATTCTGACTCTGCAAAAGTCACTTTTGGCAGGCGGAAAAGGAATCGGAGGTAGTTAACTTTCATTGCCCCGCATGATACAGCAGGCCGGGTAGGCCAGGTGCGAGCAGGGAATGGCACCCGCCAGCTGTTAGGAAAAAGACCGAAACCACCAATTTCCCGCGGACGCAGAGTGGAAGCTTCCAACCGCCCGCTGAGCCCGAACATCGCGCATGCGCCATTCCCCTTTCCCGCAACTACCGCCCCAAAGTAACCCACGGCCTCGTTATAATATATTTGCAGAGCGGTTTCTTAGTGCTTTTTGGGCAAGATCCAAAATGGCGCACCGAAGGGAGGCCCTGAGGGGACTCGGGAGAACAGTGGCAGGACCTGAAGAGAAAATGGAAACACTAAGGCGAAGGCGGGACGCCTCGGGGCGCGCTCTCCTATGCGGACCCACTCCGTCCTTCTCTGCGTTCACTGCCTGGAAAGGCGTGCTTCTGTCAGAGTCCAATTCTGAACTCTTCAGAGGGCGGGGAGGGGGCGGGGAGGGGACGTCTGCTGGCGTGCTGTAGCTGCCGGGCTGCGGTCCGCAGGACCGGGGGTAGGGGCCTCGCTGCTCCGGTGGCCTCTGTGAAGCTGGGACCCTACTCCCCGCTAGCTGGAACCCTGTCCCCCTACGGTTCCCCGCTGCCTGGGACCCATACCCCCCGCCGAAGCCCTGCTAGCTGGAACCTTGACTCTCCCCGCTCCCCCCCCCCCGCCAGAGCCCCCGCTGGCTGGGACCCTGCCCCTGCCTCCAGCCTCCCGATGTCTGGGACCCTGAACCCCCGTCGGCCCCCTGCTGGCTGTGATCCTGAACTCACACCCCTCCATCTGCATCCACAGCCTGGACACCACCAGCTCTCGGTAGTGTCCCTCTGTGGGAGGAAGGATTGCCCCCTTTGTCCCTTCAGGCC